GACCACATTAGTTTTAATGGACTCAACTAGCTGAAGGCGCTCGATCAGGTATCTGCACCAGATCACGAGTGAGAATGCCATGCTAAACAACCCCTGCAATCGCTATCCAGATTAGACCAGACGATCCTCGATATATTGATAGCCTATCAAATATATCTTCGAACCTGCTCGCTTCTGTCGTTTTATTTCACTTGGTGGGTACGATTCATATTAGAAGGTGTTACTGGTTAAAGCGTTGTCAAATTCCGAATACCTGTGACATCTTCAATCGTTTACAGATTACTCTTGATAGTTATGGTATTAAGAAAATCTTATTAGTTTCAAGATTTATGATACTTATCTACTCGTGATAAAGTCAACAGAATTTAGTCTCATTGTTTAAATCACAAACTATCGTTTGTCCAACAACTACTGAAAGCTATAAAGCGTTTGAAAGATGTTCCGTCATAGAATGGGACTTCTCATAAGTGTGCTTCCATGACATCACCAGAGATCGGACCAGAAACTTTCAGATTGTGGTGTGGGTTACTTGTATTTACACAAGTAGTATATGACGGTGGTCAGGCATATAATGTGTTTCAGTAGAAGGTCGATAAGGAAAGAATGAGAACGAAACGCAATTGGTATGAAAACGCATGAACAATAAAATCTGAGACAATGGATTGATGTTTGCAACAGGAACAGTCAAGTTTGATATGATGGATTGATATTTTGCAAATTAACAATTTAATATATGGTTCTCAGATTTTATTCAAATGCTCTGTAATTATGTGCTCAAATATATTCGATTGTCCCCATTGGTGTTCTCGTTCACTACAAAATCACTTACCCCAAATCCAATAGTTTACTTGTGCAGATTATGTCACTGATGTAAAGTAAGAAATCTATCAGACTTGTAAATACCGTGTGATAAGAATTTCGTTTACCAGGATATTGTTTAAAATAAACCATCTGAGGATTAAAAAGTAAAGTATCTTTTCTAAAGATTAAAGTCAGAAATTCGGTGAATATTCGCCATCTTTTATATAGAGAATAATTTCAATATAGTATTCACTTAGCTTTAACCGATATCAGTGAACACAAAAAACACAGCATTGAAATGTAAATTAGAATATTTTGTATCATTTTGTAAATCAAATAATTGATTTAGTTAGTAAATTGTCCAGAGTGTTTCTAATGAGTAGATCGATTTAGCATAAATCAATTTTTATTTTAATTTGTGGAACATACCATTAATAACATCATTTAATGTATACTATTCGACTCATTTATGGCAATATGATTTTGAGTCTGCCAAAAATAGTTACCAAGTGATTTGTATTATCTGATTTTATATTGATAATCTATTAAGTTGATCTGAAATACAACACATCAATAATACATGTTATTTCACGTGAATCTGTCAAAATAACTGCAAATTTGATGAGCTAAATGGATCTACCGTCAATAAATGAAGTGAGAAAATTTACAAAAATATTGTGTTTTGATCAATTTATGTTATTGATACATCATTTACAAGATAAATTATGTAGTGAATACGTGTAATCAGTATGAAGTTGTGATGTAAAACACAGACTTAAAAAAGTGAACAGTGAATTCAACTTACTAATAATATGACTGGCAGTATTTTAGTGACGTAGAAGTAGCGTTATCTTTATAAGAATAGCTTTGATTACTGTTAAAATGAGGCCGAATACGGAAAGAAGAGATAAATTTAAAGCTATAGTGATCACTTTTTATATTATGTTTTATATATTAGACACCAGGATTATGATAGTCTTATATTATTCGAATTGTAAGTCTACAAAAACTATCGTTATACGCTTTACCTTCACTGAGTGATTAATAGTTAGTTAGTTATATACCAGTTACTTAGTTCTCTTTGACTTATGGTACGGTTCTGATTACATTGTGCATTTTTAGTTATGGTTGTGTATAGTCAAGAAATTACTGTTCTTTATTGTACAAGTTCATGTCATTGGGGACGAATATATCATAGAGATGTCAACTGCTTGCTAATTTCTTCTTGTGATTGAATACTTAGCTGAAAGTAGTCCGATGATCTATAGGTGTTGAAATCCCAGTCATTGTTTATTGGTCAGTGAGTCATCAGTAGAGTAGAAGGTCATCATTTCTACAGTAAAGGAGTGAATTAATCAATAATCGGACTAGATAATTAAAACTTTCAAAGATTTTGATTAGATTTAATTTTATAAAATAGGCTTTTTCAGTTCATCTCTCTAGGTATTCAGAAGACGGTGTTTGAAACATTGATAAACCTATAATTATGTTTATCTCTGGGATATGTTGTTTACATAACTCGGTAAACACTGACATATGACTGTGTTCTACACCCTGCGAAACAAAGAAAAATGTTCTTACAATAACATGTTCTTAATAATGTAAATGTAACAAATGTTATTTGTAGAAGCTTCACTGTTATTACACTCAGACGCGTTTTACTCCAACCGTTTGAAAGATAAATTAGATATTTCCGGTCATTATTTCATTCATACATGTACAACACATATAAACGAACAATTGTGTTCAATTAGATCGTCATCAGGCTTTACTCTAATATACATGAATATTTATAAGAAAATGTTAAAACAATCAGGGCAATTTAAGTCAATAATCACAATGAAATAGAATAAGTCACCATACATAATAGATAAAAGTACAAGTTCATAGTAGGAAGACAGGTGTACTGATAGTAGTAAGAATAATAAAATACGATAACAAAAGTCATATCAATAGTTAAACATTGGAAATGGAAGGTCAAACGTAGGTAAATAGAAATAGAATATCAGAAGGGGTTTTGTGGAGATCGTAGAAATTCCAATGGTTAATATCATGAGTCAGTTGAAGCTAGATCACCATGGAAAACCTGGAAGCACTGGACGGCCGTTCCTTCCTATCGTGAGACTCCCCAACAGTGCTCACCCACGACACCGCCCCCTGCGAGACTCAAACCAAGGACCTACTGATCTCGCGCGCGAGCACTTAGCCACTAGACCACTGAGCCGGCCGGCATCCAACGGTGTTAATATCTAACTTCAACTTATTCACGAAATTGAGCGACACATCCACCATTGTCATCAGTGAGTTACTATCTCACAACAGACCTGGTTGAACTTCACTGGTCACTACTTCTCACTGGAACTTCAGGATATACCTCTTGAAGCCAGTCACTAGTGAGCATATGTTGATTAATATCAGAAGGGGTTTTGTGGAGATTATAGTAATTTCAATGGTTCAAGGTTTTCCATTGTTGTCTAGCTTCAACTGACTCATGATCTTAACCATTAGAATTAAAATAGTCATCACAAAACATTAAAATCATTTCGTAATGAAAAGTGTGTAAATAATTAGATAGTGAAGAATACAAATGGAAAGAGGAGAAAATTACAAAGAAATAGTGGATGTGAAAATAAGGTTAATGATAACAAAAATAGAATAAAATAAATAAATAATAACAAAAATTAAAAAGAAAGAAAAGATCGTTTAAGTTATAACTGGCCATGGAACGGATAGAGGGGTTACGAATTTCTTCTGTACACATAAATTGGGGTTATATGTACGAATTCCTATGGCTTCAGCTATATGTAGGAGGCGGAAACGAACTCCGTTGGGAAATGATGGAGGTATACGATAGATCACTCGAAATGATTTTTGATTTATCTACAGCATGACCGCTATCAATAAGATGCGGCAAGATAAAACTGCGTATTGTTTTTATCTGGCCTTTTATAAACCAAGCTATCAACTTGCACTTTTACCTATTATGTGTGGTGACTTATTCTATTTCATTGTGATTATTGACCTAAATTACCTTGATTGGTTTAACATTTTCGTATAAATATTCATGATGACGATCTAATTGAAAACAATTGTTCGCTTACATGTTTTGTTCTAATTTACACAATGGGAGTCTTTAATATTCATATATGTGACTAGAAGCATGTGTAGATGATGCCATCTGTCTACGTACTTATATCTCTTTTTTATTTGTACATGATGAATCATCCATCATTCACTGAGTTGGGGTTTTGCATTGATATTAAAGGGATTTAACTACAAGATATACTTGAAGCCGAATAGGACAGATATTTTATTATCGTTACTTTTCGTTTATTATAGAGTTCAACATTAACACAAAATACTGATACGGACAGATCCTGAAGTAAAGAGAGTTTCATCAACTGAATTCTGACTAAAACAATTGTGTTTTGATAGGTATTCCAAATTAAATGGTCCCCTTAAAGTATGTAGAAGAATTCAGTGAGATTAATGAAGACACTAGGTATGATGAAAGGTTATAGTGACCACTATATTCTCATGTGGACTAAATGTCGAATTTATGCATCTCTTATGATTCATAATTAATATTTTCCTAACTGAATAAAATGAAAACTAATTATCATTCTAATGAATGATTTGATGTCTATATCATCACATCAAGTGACGAAGGAGATAAAGATGTTGACATGTTCTTGACAATAGAGACAGATAAATGACTAGTGTTTTGAAGGTTATAAGAATGATGTCAATGAAACTTTGTGAAATGCACATTTCATCATTATAGTTTAAGTGTTTCTTTGAAAGATCGTTTGATTTTATGAATCGGAATGTGAATCAGTTAGAAATGGGATTGTTGATCTCTGCCATACACTCATATGGTTTGTGTGTTATTGTATCAATGAAAATGTTTGTGGCTGTAGCTTTCTGTTGTATCAAAACTTCAATTAAACCCTAAATCTTGTTTATCATGAATTTTATCAGGTCAGCTGTTCCACTTGTCAACATTTCTTAATGAAGAGTGCTAAGTCGACATTTTGGAATTCAGATTAGATCAAGTGAATGTTTGAACGTTATTGATTTAATCTACTTTGAAAGTGTAATTTTGGAAATGAAATGATTGTATGTAAACATTTTACGTGATTGGTTAACTGACATAATTTAATGTAATAAATCAACAAACTATACTATTTGAATATAAGTGTAAAACTAAGACATTTATTCATGTATTTATACGTATTTGATTGAAACTATGCAAAATATTATTTTCCTATTATTGATTTGTTTCTTTCATTATATTGAAAGAATCTATGCTTCTGGTCGTACTGTACATGACCATTATCCCAAAGTAATGCTTCTTTCTCTTGATGGATTTCGTTATGATTACTTTGATATGGCTGAGAAAAGAGGTGTAAACATGTCAGCATTTAAAAAGATTAAAAGTCAAGGAGTTTACATAAAACGTATACAAAATGAATTCCCTACTTTAACATTTCCATCACACTTTTCAATGGTAACAGGACTGCATCCTGAAAGTCATGGAATAGTAGATAATGTGTTTTATGATCCAACTATTAATGCAACATTTGCATCAAGAAATCAGTCTACAGCATCAGATTCTAGATTCTATGATGTTGGAGCTGAACCGATTTGGGTAACGAACCAATTTCAAGGTCATAAAAGTGGAGTGACTTTCTGGATTGGAAGTGAGGCGAAAATCAAAGGCCAGACACCAACTTACTATCTATCACCCTACAATGAAAACATCACATTTATTCAGCGAATCGATACTTTGATGAGTTGGTTTGATTATGAAAATATTAACCTCGGTCTTATGTATTATCATCAACCTGATAGAGCAGGACATATTTATGGAGCAGCAAGTGACGAGGTTTTCAAAGCTATTGAGGAGTTAAATCATGGACTAGATTACCTCTTGACATCGATTGAAAAGCGACCATCACTTAACTGCTGCCTCAATCTGATTTTATCAAGTGATCATGGAATGGCGAACATCAGTTCAGACAGAGTTATATATCTTAGTGACTACATACACCCGAATGAGTATATATCTGCTCCTAAGAAGTCAGCGGAAATCTTGACACTTTGGCCAAAGCCAGGTAAGTCTTACCACCAACATTTTTCAAAGTCTAGGACATACTGCGCGATCATTATATGACAAACTGAAAGACCAACACTTCAGATTAAATGTCTATTTAAAGGAGGAACTACCAACACGTTTCTTTTATGATTCAAGTGATCGAATTGGTCCTGTTGTTGTATATACAGACATCGGATGGACGATTATTGTTGACAGAAGTTCTGGGGTAACATTGAGTAAGTGAGCATTTATAAATTAATATTTGAAATAACTTAAGTTTACGAGATTGAGTAGTTTGCGACGGAATCAAGGCATATAATACAAGAGGAATAAGACAAAAAGTAGCTGTGATTAAAAATAGCGTATATTTATATATAAAGTAGTCATGCAGTGTAAAGGCTGCCTGCTTATAACTACTGATGATCATAATCAATGTTTTACAAAGTTTCATTGATTATGAGGTGATAGTTATTGAGTATTTTAAGTTTGTTTTGCTATAATCTAGACAAAATGATAGCCAGTTACAAAAATTTAATTCTTGCATAGATCTATTCTATAAAACTGTGTTAAATTTCACCAAGTTCTGAAAGTGTGACAAGATGGTTCGTATAATTCATTAAGTATGTATTCTTCTCATTGATTTTGGCCTTTGTAAAACCGTCGATACTACTGAAGAAAAAGTCAGTCAGTCAGCAACAACGTAGAACTTTGTACGTACGTACATCAGTTTGAATTTTCATACCACATTAGCACAGAGGTGCAGTTGTCGATTCAAATCCCATAGTGGTAGAGATAGCAAGAGTATGTTATTCAAGGAATATAATCGAGTGAAATAAATTTGGAAAGAGAAAAAAAGGGACATGAAGAATTCAGATGATTAGAATTTGAGAGAACACAAAGAGTGGATGCACCTGCGCCACTACAAACGATTTTTGCTCCGTGTCATTCAAGGTCTCTAACCATCGGTTTGTATTGTCTCGCGGATCCCAACCAGGTAGTCTACACCTACAAACATGGCTCAGTCCACTTGTCAGTGAAGAGAAATAAAATATTGTAATGTGAAATCAAAATTGAAACAATTTAGTTTTTCTTTTTTTGACATCATGAAAATGAAAGCATAGGTACATTGAAGTCATCACTTTTCTATTATGTTTTCGAAACATATCTTGATTTGTAATTCAAAACTAGATACTTCATTTATATACTGAACTTCTCATTACACTGAAATATTGAAATTCCGTTTCCTTTTGAACACTTCATAATAAACTATAATTGTGATTTGATTGATCCCAATAAAAACACCAATATATGAACGAAGAACATTCTTCACAGCAATTTCTCTCCAGGTTTTATAATCATATATCCAAATTAATAGTCAAAAAGTGGCTAGGTTTAAAGCAATGTACATTGTTTGAAACTGGATAAATAGTAAATTTTGATAGTTGAATCAATGAATCGATCTAAACTAGGTCACCATTGGAAACTTAGAAGCACTGGACGGCGGTTTTGTCCTAGTATGAGATTCGTAAGCAGTGTGCATCCATGGTCGTACACACGGGACTTGAACCCACGACCTTCAATCTTGTGCGTGAACGCTTAACCTCTAGACCGCTGAGCCGGGCATTGAAGAGTGTTAATTGTTATAACTTGTGGCCTTGTGCCCTATTAATATTTGACGTAATGATACCGCCAATTAGAAAACGGTGAATTATCGATCGGACCAATAACGCACCAACCTGTACAGCAGTTTACAGTCTTTATCGGGCCTTCTCCCTGCCTAGCCCTGCCTATTAATTCCAGAACACCAATATCAGCCTCTGAGATATGAATCATGTATTTCGAACATACCACATCGTAAAATAGAATAAAAAATAACATTTGTATAAGATCTAACCAAAAGTGGCTGTGAATGTGGGAGACTGTAATTAATAAACCGGGTATAACTTAAGAATGGTAAATCGTATAATGATAGTGCATGGGTCAAAATAAAGCTTATAATAAGAGAAATATGAATATGCATAGTTTAGCTACTTAACAATTATACGATAAAAGTATATGTGCAGTATTACTCCAGGAATAGCTTCTCATCGGGATATAAAATTAATGTCTAACTTCAATCGATCCATGATTTTCCACAACCCTTCATCCATTGTCTGAGGTAGATAAGTGTCTCCACCCGAAACGGGTTAGACTCCATCAGTCACGATTTCTCGCTAGAACTTCAGGAAATCTATCTTAAAGCTGGTCACTTGTCAGCACATGATCATTATCAGAATGAGGGTCGACTCATGAATTCGACTATAAAAATTACAACATTCTCGACAAATCTTCATTCTGACTGAGAATAACATAATATCGAAACTATAAGACATTATGAATATTTAAATTAATATTTATGTTTATCCGAGAACAAAACTATTTAATATTCGTCAGTTGAAGCTTCTTACATTTCTGGGATTTTGAAATGGTGTAAGTAAATTGAATATCCGCTGTTGTTACATAAATTACTATGTAACAGAAATCGCATGTGTAAAGACGGCATAATTTAGATTTATACAACCGACAAGAAATCAGAAAAGTTCTATATCTTCATTCACTTATTCTGTGCAATTTTGTTCGGTTTATAATCTTAACAATTCCCAGATATTAAATAAAGGTCATATGACTTCTTCAGATCTTGGTGTCCATGGACATTATTTATTTAAATGTAAGAACATTCGTTTATCCTGTTTAATTTGAAGTGTAACAGATTTTCAGGTAAAAAATGAATTGTTATTTAGGACTGCAATTGATCAGTCGCTTGTTGGCATATGTGCATCCTGTGCGATATAGCTTTGTAAGCAAAGCTGATGAGTCCTAAATAGGACGAAACGCGTGTCCTGGATTCCACTGCTAGCCACTATCCATCATAGTAATATATCAATCTAACTGCATGTTAGAGCTTTGTTTGACTTCACAATGCCAAATATATGCAAAAGTATTAAATTATTTATCTTTTTACAGTAATACCGAAATATAGCCTGCTTTTTAAACTCTAAAGTTATATTAAATTTCACATTGAGATAATGAACTTAGGCAATAAATCTCATTATTTTTAATTGTCTTTTGATAGAAAATAAAGGTTCTCATGGTTATGATCCAGATTACAAAGTTATGTCTCCATTTCTAATGGCAATGGGACCTCTGATATCTAAACATCAAAAAACAAAATTAGAAGATACAATCAAACTGATTGATATTTACTCACTGATTTGTCTTATGCTTAATTTGAAACCTGCTCCTAATAATGGCAGTGTTTGTCGAGTTGCCCCATTGTTAAGTTATGTAAGTTTTTTTTTCAGATCATGCAGTTATCGCATCATCATATTCATACCATTCTCACACAATACCTTATGATACATTATGATATTATCGAAGCATACAACATGAACTTAATTATGGATAATGGTAGAAATCTAGTATCCGAATAAACCAATTAAAGTCCATTTTACTGAATAAAATCATCTTCCAGACGATATGATTTACTAATTTATATGCATCTTTATAGTAAAACAAATACTAAATGATTTCAATAGTTGAGATCATGAGTCAATTGAAGCTAGACCACCATGAAAAACCTGAAAGCACTGCACGGCCGTTTCGTTCTATCGTGAGACTCCTCAGCAGTGTGCGTATTGATTAATTATCAAAAACCCACTAAGTTACTATCAATCAATTTATTGATTATTCTAATTCTCTATTAATTATCTAGTCAGTATAAAACGAGTCTCTGTAGTGAATTATGAATTCATATTATAATTATTATCATGTATATTGTTGGCTATACAAACTGATATAAGATGGTTACAAAAATAATATTTCTATAGTCTTGTAGTGATAAAGCTTCGTTAATCAATCTCGTGGTGTTTGAAATCATAAATCAACAAGGAGGAGTAACTACAGTTTATTAGCGGATAGTATAGATAACAAAGTCATAACCACATGAAGGGAATTTGAAGCAGAGAAGTGAACGTGTATATGCGAGAGAATACATAGGCAAATTTATAGTTAAATCGTATAAGGGCACAGCAAGTCAAACCAAAAACTAATAATATGATTCGTGTACATACATACATAAAGAAGAGAATGAATCATTGGGTAATATTTAAGCGATCAATATTTTAGCTAGAGTCTGTCATATGATTAAGCATACATGTTTAGTTAAATATGGTAGTGTTTATATTAGTACAATTATTATTCAAATAACATTGTCTGTTACGTAAGTTAATAAAAAAGGGTTTAACCAAAATTTTAACCTTAATGGAAATTGGTTATAGGATAGTTACTATAGCCTATGATGAGTTATTTGTATGTTTACCTCATTTCAAATCAATTAAGTTGTTTGTATAGTTACACAACATGACCTTGATTGTTTATTTATCAGCGTGTTTGTTTGTGTTTTTTTTTCTTAAAAAAAATAGTATATTACAATTTGACTTCATTAAAATTGACTTTAATTCAACTTTTACATCAATATTTTGTTTTCTAATTGTATTCTAGAAAAGCATTGCCAATGTCAACAGATCACCTATCACATTCATTATTAAATTTGTTATTCTAAGTATTTTCATGTCATACAATGGATTATATTATTGAAATAATAAACTTTTCTAGTGAATGAATCGTTGATGTTCTGATAAGGAAACTTGTTTATTTGTTTGTTTTACCAAGATGCAACTAATTACGTAATTGTCATGTGTTAGACACACAAACAAACAAACAAACAAACAAACAATTGAATTGTTCAGTAATACTCAGATTGTATAATTTTTTTTTCATTTTTGATAAGTGGTTTGTTTGTTATGTTTTTTTTTGCTGACATTTTAATGTATGTATTCATATGAAATAGTGTAAAACATTTTAAAACATAATCAATATTCTGATTATTGTATCAATATGTAATGTGGTTGTACATTGTTATTCTGTAAAGTGTGCACAAAAAAAAATATGTTAACACATATTTTTGATACATTATGATGTACTTACTTACTACTTATAGGCTTAAGTAAGTAGTATGTAAGTATATCTTCATGCATCAATTTATCTTTAATCCACTTTCATAGTTACAAGTATGTTTATAATATCTATAACAACTTTGGCTTTGGATTGTAAACATCTGATGAGAATCTAATGACATTAAATGAATTCATTAATTATTTTGCACTAATCTTTGTTTTTGCTCTGTTTAAGAAAAAAAGAAAGGGGAGTATTTGAACGTACAATTGTTGTCAATTACAGCCATCTACTTCACCCTCTATCTTCCCCTTAAATTTTCTACCCCACCCCCAACTGGTTTATTTCTATTTCCACGATCTTCATTACATTTAATCTCAATTTCAACATTATATCATATCATGTTGAGCTATCCTTTCCCAATGATAATCTCCCTATTTATCTTTATGATGAATACCTAAGCCATTAACAATCAAACGATTATTAAACTTTATTTTTAAAAGAATTTTTTAATAATTTTGTTTAATTAATTGATTATCAGGTTTTACAGTTACATATCCATATTTACAAAGGTCAACATAAAACATACATTAGTGTATCATACATTAGTTGTATCATTTGTAAATGAGAGCGGTCATTTAATGAAGGTTAAAATGATTCACCTTTGAGTTTCAAGTTGTTATTAACATAATAGGAATGAAATAAATTGTGCTGTGGGGCCAGCGAAATTCCACTGAGCCCTAGCCAAATCATCCGGTAGTTGGGTCATTGAATATGGAACAAATCATCAATCCTCGTCGAGGTCAAGGACAGCCAACGCGCATCAGTTAATCGTACGCCATGGACTGGCCCATGCGGCAGTGGTCTCAACTTCGTTTGTATCTACTTTAACTAATATATTTCTGTAATAACGTCCTCTGTGTTGTACAGTCTTCAAAGCATCTATAGTACCTTGATACGTCAATGGGGTAATCCACGTAAGGTGCAGACCGCGAAGTGTGACTTCGACGTTAGCTAGTGTGTCACACCACTCACGTCTAACTCGGGTAAGCCTCCAATCATTTCGACATAGATCATCTACGTTGATGATCTACACTGGTGAGCCAGACGTGATGCGAACACGCAACCTTCTGATAAATAAATTGTATAAATTGTATAGTGGGAGAATTTTGTTTCGTTCAAGGTTTAGTTTGAGTGTAAATAAACCGTTGGAAGACATGCTAAATGAGCTAGCTTATTACTGTCGACAAATAGATGACACAAAAATCTTTTGTGATAAGGGCATCAACATTAATGAGCTGTTAAGTAGTTCCAATACCATTCGATCATGTATTACATTCGTAAGCTAAGAGGAGAATGATAACAATGCATTGTTCCTTGATGTTCTGCTTTCTAGAATGATAAAACTTACTTACTTACTTACTTACTTATGCCTGTTAACCCTCGTGGATGAGCATAGGCCACCCACCATCACCCTTCATCCATCTTTGTCCTGAGAAATCATTTCCAGTTTTTTTCAAGTTGCTATTCATCATTTTGATATCTACTTCTGATTCTCGGTGCAGTATGTTATTTTGGCTCTCCTCTTCAGGATTCTAAGTTAGTAGAAACACAAAAGGTTACACAAAGAGAAATTTTTTTAGAAATAATACATTGACCGGTCGGTATATTCATTTTGATAATTTTACAGCTCTTTAATGCAAAATAAATTTGATTAAATGTCTCAACCACAGAATAATACTATAATATTCCGAGAATAGTGTAGATGATAGAACAGACAAACTGAAGAATACATTACGGAATAACGGTCATCCACGTAATTTATTCAAAAGATAACTATCAGAACTAAAAAATTGATCCAACACAGACACAGACAGTAAGAAAACTCTTTATATAAAGCTCGATTTTAATGGGGGGGGATATTTAAGGCTACCAAGTTGAATGTATTCTTCTCAACCAAAACAGTCCTTGCACAACGAGTGAAGGATATGTTACCATACTGATGATGAACTATTCCATGTGTGTATACCTAATCAACTGTTCCTCTGGAGCTGATTACACTAGGCATACTCAGAGGGCTTTGTCCTTGCCTGTTTGTGAACACGTACCGGCACTGTTGGGAAGAGGATCTACGAAATTCATTATCGGTGCCGTGATTTCTCGCTTAGTAGATGGTGAATATTATATCAAAATAGATGAAGCTGTGATGTTCTTGCATCACGTTCCAATCAATCTACGACTCCTCTATATGACTGAAGCCATCTGGATCAGCTCAATAAAATCTAACTAATGCGTCTAAAAGGAAAAGACATATGTTCGAGTTCTGTGTATAACTTAATCCACGACTAAGTAAGCAGATACCCAGACTGGTTATTATAAACCCCTCATTTCCCTAATACCTTTTGTGTTTATATCCTTCTTAATCTACACAGTCATTTTTACCAATTCATACAAGTCTCTCATCATAATTAAGTTCACAGAACGCCTTTTATTTCATCCTATACTCTCAAAAGGTTATTATCATTATTATTGTCTCCATGAACGAGACAAAATCATCCCACAATACGTTCTGTTGGCACGATTTATTTTATTCCTATTATACTAATAACAACTTGAAACTTTAAAATGAACCTTCGTTAACTGACCTCCCTGATTTGCAAATGATACAACTTTGAATTATTCATGTCATAACAGATGTAAAGTTTCACTATTTTTTAACAAATGACATTGTCTAAATCATTAATGTATGTTTTATTTTGACCTTTGTAAATAATATAAAAAAACACACAGTAATTATGGAGTAATAACTGTTGTGTTCTAACTTGGATCCGTTCATGATATGAATGATATTCAATAATCTCCATGACAGGATACTGAAAATTATGACTGAAGAGTGTAATGACAAAGTTATTGTAAACATTTATTCATTGAAATATTCTTTGTTTTTCTAAACTGTTTGTAAAGTATAGAGACACTTTTGAGTTTGACAGTTTGTTTCAGTTATTTGATTTGTTAAAACCTAGAAATTGGAGTAGTTAAGTGGATAACTCAATGGTGTTTGAAGAGTATCGAAGTAAATAGTAACTGTAGAATGTACATACATTCAGCTGATAAGTCTCATATAGGACGAAACATGTATTCTATATTCAACGGCTAGTTGCCATCCATAGTTGCTTAAAATACAAAATTGTATTATTACTAATAGAAGCTAAGCCTTGATTACATGAAGCATTAGTAATGTATGTAAACGGTCGATAATATATTTATATTGATTAATATCAGAAGGGGTTTTGTGGATATTATAGTAATTTCATTGGTTGAGATCATGAGTAAGTTGAAGCTAGACAACCATGGAAAACCTGGATGCACTGGAAGGCCGTTTCGCCCTATTGTGGGACTCCTCAGAAGTGCGTATCCACAATGTATATCATGTAAAAGTCACACTGTTTTTCTTTTTAATAAGACCATTAACTGATTTGGTGTGATTGCTTATTTTTGTTTTCAATGTTATGTTATAAAATACGTATTTTTATATCCAGTTAAAACCCTTGTCCGTTTTAATACAAACCGTATTTTTAGCATGTTTTAATACGAGTCCTTCCATTATGAATGTATTTTTTCTCACTATATATTAGAAATGATAAATCTTGCAAATTGAACGCTATATTCGGTTGCTAAGCTATTCTTGTAATCCCCCAAGCTAGAAATGTACAGCGACCTGAACACGAGAGAGAAGGTGAAAAGTATGCGAAAAGTACTTTACTCCAAAATTTCATTTTAATATAGAAAATATATGGTTTTTATATTATTTTAAATGTCCTGGGTTGTTTGAAGATTCTGGAATGCTACTAAACATAGTAGCAGTATAGTAATCAGCCAATCAGAACCTCTACATATGACGTTTCACTTCCTTGATGGTTCTGACTAAAGCTTCAAGTGAACGCTGATTGGATGAAATACTTTTTAGTGATTCCTGATCCTTCCTTGTCCTTTGCGAGAAATTTTCCGGATCACCCCAACAAGAAACATTTATGTTCTTCACACTACTATATACATGTCCATTATATACAAAATTATTGTATAGAAAGTACTGATGTCTCTGTAGAGTTGTGTCATGGAAAAGAATTAGCATTGGATCTGCAAAGGGATATCATAGCACTGAGTTAAAAGTTTATGCAAAACCACGATGTAATTCACAATTCAAACAGCTTACACTATCTTGATCATGTGTGAGAGCAAACTAATTAGAGCATATTATCATTGTCTGAAATGTATAATTGTTCATTGAAACATGAATATCCCGAATAAATCAATCATTTTAGCTAATACATATTTCTAGTAATTTCGCCAGTTTCGATATTTCACAGCCTGATTAAATCTAGTCAAGCTTAAATGCAAAGTGTTGTCTCATGGGGTAATTACGTAGTTCGAACTCAATCACTTGATAGAACATGAATTAAGTTTACGCAAACTGGATTCTATTTACTGAACAAACTTATTATTATTACCAGTTGAAATCATGAGTCAATTGAAGGTAGACAACCATGGAAAACCTGAAAGCACTGGACGGCCGTTTCGTCCTAGTATGGGACTTCTCAGCAGTGGGCATCTACGATCCCGCCTCCTGCGAGATTCGAACCCAGGACCTATCAGTCTCGCGCTTTATTCAATATTATATTTTTGATATAATATAGAATTCTCAGCATAAAGTATTTAAACGCGTTTCCGTTTCTTATTTCTTAATCAATATTAACAATAAATATTAAGTGATCATTAGTTACATGTTAGCAATTCAGGAATCGGCCTCTGAATAATATTCATTCTTTTCGATGCATATTGACAGCTGTCATAATGTCTCCAATTGTACATTTTTGTAACTTGCACCTGAATAGATTAAACAATTAATTGACCTAATGATCTGTTTAAATCAAACAAGGAAACAAATAACTTGTTGAAATATACAGATGACAGGAACAGGTAGCGCAGATATTGAAGTAGGCCGCCATTGTTTATAGATAATATTTGTAATAATAAGAAGTATCCTACCAATTTTGAGAATATTTTATATAGTAACTAATTCAAAGCATGTCATATGATTATTATCTTTGAATGAGAAATATTTGCATTCAACATCTTTTGATCAACAAACAACAAGAATGAATTATGAATTTACAGTCGATGAAATTCATTTTAGAAGTAAATGAACACGTTTTATCCTACATGAACACATTTAATTGATTTTAGTATTCTATTATGAATGACATTTGTATCAATAAACTACAATATGATCATCTTACAGGACTAAAGTCATCAGTTTAATCTTCAATAATTATAGTAACCAGTTACCTGGTTAGTTACTGATTAAAAAGATACAAGAGTAGTTTTAATTTACACAAATGAAATTTGGTATTTTTATGTAAATGATTTTTATTCATTTATATTTCAGTCAATGAATAAGAGTTATAATTTATAGATTAATTGTAGACAAGCCTTACGTCATATATTATGATCAATGGAATCACAGTTTATTGATTGTTTTCATGTTTTGATTTTTTTGTTTTTTTTTATTCCAGTAAATTTTTGTAATACATGATCTATTGAGAATAACACAGAGACTGTCAATGAACTTCAGTTTCGATCATGTAATAAGAAGATGAAGATTATCAGAATTATGTAATATGTTAGCGAAATATATTTCGAACAATCTGATCACATATGTATACATGTCAAGATTAGAACGAATAGTATGACAGAAATTGGGCTCCGAGTATAGAGAAGTCATTATATGTGCAAAATTCTATTTGGAATATTTCCAACGTTTCGTCCAGCTAACTTATTTGGACTTCTTCAGGGTAATAATCAAAATCAAAACGTTGGAATTATTTAAATTTCAATCGCTGAGATTATTTTAA